TAACTACTATGAAGTTCTAAAATAAGCATCACTCAAATTTATGTCCTCAAGCGATCTTTCTCAATCCACCACTCGGATTCCATATGAAAAATTGAAATTCCAAATCAATGTCGATCCTTCCCACCAACTATCACTCCTGTTTAGTTCAACTTCCATATTTGTTATAGGAAGTGGCTAAAGATTCCTATGATATCTAATGATCAACTTTCCACCTTTGTAGCAGGTTTTACACTTAGGGCAATTATGTACACGTCCCTATCCGTACCTGTTCACCAAAACTGACATTTGATATCGTGATGTACTTTCTAACCGTCTGGGTGTACCAAGAAAAATTATAAATTTCCATCTCAGTCGCCCGACCGTCATATCACTATTTACAGAAACTACTAACTCTCCTCTAGTACCTTAAACTCCTTCTCTAGGGTCAGCTCCAATATTTAAAATTGACCTCTTGAACTACCTTGGCAATAACAAGTGTTATTATTAAACCTGCTATACATTCAACTGATAACTCATCAACGAACCGAAAGATTTAAATATCTCATCGGTCGTTAAGAGCATCCACTTCCATAATTGCTTCCACCAGATGGAACTTGATATAAAGTGTGAATTACCACTTCTATCTATCTAAACCGTCTCGTGATCCATTCTATTCGTATGAACTAAAGTCCTACCAGTTTGAAATAGACAAGAATCAAGCTGACCTAATGTATCAGTCAACCAATATCCCATCCAGAATCCTGACCCTTGTGTAAAATCAGAAATCCCGCAACTAAATCTGTAAAATGCTCTCTCATTTCCGCTTTAGTATAGGAAATGGCAGCAAAGGATCTAGTGATCTTTGATGGTTCATCTTTACTATCTAATAAATATTAGACTTGGAGAGAAATCACTATATCCATTCTCCTGCCTATCGTGAATATAAGTAGGACTTAACATTTTAGTTAATCAATTCCCTTATATAAAATAGGTAGGACTTAACTGATAAGTTAATCCGTCCCTAAAATGCCACCGTCCCATACCGGTGCATTAAACCACACAATCCAACAATTGATGTAACGATTAAGGAAATACATCAAACAATCCAAAAATAACTATGATAATATGATATCAAGTTATCACAAAATAAGAATGACTTATTATTTATTTAAGCTTCCTATATCATATGTCATACATAAACTGAATCTTATACATATGATGATATTTTATTATACCGTCAAATAAGCATTATCCATATCCAATTCATCCTACACATTTAATCTCAATTGTTAAAACATATTAAAAGATTAAATCCATTCGTTTGTTTAAAACATTCAAATAGCAAACATCATTATGATTGAGTCCATTTAAATTTATTTAAACCCAAACCTAGTTCCTATTTAATGTTTAAGAATCCTAAGCATGTTTCTACGTTCCATCATTCCATAGATATGTAAAATACATAATTTAAACATGTAAAAATTCACACCGGAACTCAAATCAAAATCATGCATTTATCAATTCATAACACAAGAACAGATATGAACCAATTTCATAAAACTTATATTCTAATCCAATTAAACATGCACAATTATTTAATTTTATGTATTTAATAAATCCTGGAATTTCCTAGGCATGTATAGAAACACGAATCAAAGGGAAAGAGATAGAAGAAGAACTTGCCTTAAACTTTCGGATCGAAAGTTAAACTTCTTCTTCCTTGATCTTCTCTCTACAGGGTTTTTCTCCTCATTCCTTCCCTCTCTAACACTATCTCTCTAGTATATATCACGTGAATATTTCTAATCCCTTTTTACAACCTATAGTTATATATTTATAGGCTAAATAAAATAACCCTAATCCTTTTCCCAATCCAAGTCAACTAAAAAAAAATGAAAATAAAAATATTAAAAAGGTAAACAAAATATGTTACGTATATAATTTATGTATATGTTTATTAAATAAATAAATTATACACATTTCATTATTTATTAATGGATTATCCAATAATATTTAAGTTACCATAATATTATAAAGTAACTTAAAACATAACACGTATCAAATCTATGTATATTTTTATTATTTAAATAAACATATACATCAGATTAAATATTACTACCCAAATTACCATAAAAGTAATTAATAAATTACTTTATCTTTTATATATATATTAAAAAGGTAAGTAAAATATATTACGTATATAATTTATGTATATGTTTATTAAATAAATAAATTATACACATTTCATTATTTATTAATGGATTATCCAATAATACTTAAGTTACCATAATATTATAAAGTAACTTAAAACATAACACGTATCAAATCTATGTATATTTTTATTATTTAAATATAAAACATATACATCAGATTAAATATTACTACCCAAATTAGCATAAAACTAATTAATAATTATGTATATAATATATATATCTATATATATACATACATTATCCATGGGTAATAATCCATACACATCCAACCTCCTATCCAAGTAGTCCATGGGACCCAATTGGTTGGCCCATTACTACTAACCATAACCATAAAAGAAAAATAAAATAAAATAATAAAAGAAAAGAAAACATTTAATTTACAATTAATCAAAACACCATTTAAGCACATAATCTAATTAAACAATTAAAACATAGACAAATACAAATAATATATAGACACATAATCAAATAATCAAGTAATACCTAATTCAATTAAACACATAAGCAATTAGTCAAATAATTAATTAAATAATTAAAAAATACAATTAAAAAAATAAATAAATACCGAGACCATCCTTTTAAAATTAGGAATATTACAAGTTACAATTTCTTAAATGATACAAGGCTTTGGACCTATTTAAACTCTTACATAAATTTCACCAATATGTATACTCCATGGGTTACAAGTTTACAAACTTAACGACTAACTAAGCTAGAAGTGCAAGAATTTGAAAGGGCTTAAGCTACACTGTCAAGCTATTGAAAACATGTGAGGTGGGCAAGGTAATAACAAGTTTCAAAAATAAATTAAGTATTCCAGGCTTGGAGCTTATTGGAGACAGTGTATAATGTCAGGTGTATTAGTGCAACGCTTTTGCTCATACATAAATGAATTATATTTATAATGCGAGCGAGCAAGGTCGATCATTGTATCATTTCCACGTGTGACCAAATTACCAATTTGGTGCAAACACATGCCTCACAACATCTGCATTATCTCTCTCCCACTAAAAACAATTCGATCGATTTGAGTACGTGAAACCCAAATCACTCTTTTATGTAAATTGCTTACATAGATTCCTCGATGTTTAAATTTTAGACCCAACCAGTGTGCAATGAATAAGAGCTAAAGAATATAATTTAGTGCTTATGAGGGACCCTGAAGATGAAAAAATGGAGTTTGTCTACACAGCAAAGATAATATTAGGTTAGAAATAAAGGTGAAACCCCAACTAATTTGAAGATTTTGAGCTTACGAAATCAAGTCAAAAACAATATCTGGTTAAAAATTAAATGAGCATCCATATTTACGAAACCAACTTAAGCAAAAAAGAGAGCGAGCAAGAGGGGGGTGAATTGGTCAATTTCAAATCCTCATTCAACACAACAATGATCACAGTTGACAGTAAATACAAGGAATACAAGGTTTAAAAAAAAACACCCTCTCAATAGGGAAAAACCTTAGTTCTTAGCCTCAGCCAATATAAGCTCCACTAGTTGTATGCAAATAGTTACACACTGAACTGTCTCACACTCTGCACACATCCTTGTATGAGTTGAAACACTAGTTTTCACAGCCTCTACATACACACTAGCTCAACACAGTGTTCACAAACACTCTCCCTATCCTAAGCACCATTGCTTAGACCTTGCAAGCTCTCGTAGCTCACCAAATACAATAAGAAGTATGAATATCAACAATATTCAAGCCTACACAAAACAACAATTTGTACCACCCTATAGAACAACTCTGCTAAAGTCAGGGTTTGAATGGTGAAATTGAAAATTCGTGTCCTCAAAATTATGTGATCAATCCCATAGCCTTATATCACCATTACAAAAATGCTCAGATGATAAACAAGTAAAGTATATCATGTGAATCACAATACAACATCAATAAGGCGTTGATAGCAACTTCAACAATGAAGAATACGGGTTTTGGTAGGTCAAAACCAAATGTGACCAAAGTTCTGTCCAAAAACGAACTTCAACAGCCTTCATTCATCAAAAATAAACTTGCTAGCATGTAAATCAAACATTATATAGCAAGATATAATCAAACTATATATGACTCATAAGACTAAACCAGAAAACAACTTAAATCACGTGTCTGAAATACAAAATTCATTTGCGAGGTGACAAAATTTGAGATGTCAATCCATTACAAGCAATGTTAAGAGTACACTCAGTCCGTTACCTAATGTCAGGCAAAGAGCCCACACGAAAATGTCCGGGTAATTAAGGGTGACAAAATTTGACATGACGTGCCAACACGACTTGAATGCGACAAGAAGTTAACAGATTTGAGTTGTTGTTAATCATGTTATAATCATATCAACCATTTTAATTAATCTTAACCCCTATAATTAATTGTCAACCCAATTAACCTCCAACATGTTACCCAATTACTAAAGACATTTCTTTAATTTTAATATAAATCCAATATGGATATTGTATTTGATTTTTTTTTTTTTCTTTTCCTAATTGTATTATCCCAATTATTTTCATTTTTATGAATTTAATAATCCGTTATCTAATAATCCATTATCTAATATCTAATATTTGCATTTTACACTTGAATTAATAAACAAGTTACATGACCCAATTAAGTTAAACAGTTAAACAAGTGTTTGAAAGGCTGATACACTAAGTCACATAAAGCGGGTGTGGGAACGAGAGCGAATTCAAGAGCGGGAATGCGAAAACGACAAAATTAAGTCACAAATAGTGAGAGCATGAGTGCAAACGCGAGCAAAGCATGGGAACTAGAGTACGCTGGGGGCGTAAGAGCGGCACCCCGTTGAGAAGGATTGTGTAACTTTAAGTCATACATATTATGTCTTGTTACCCATTTAATAAATGAGTTGTGTTCGTGTCGAGAGTTCGCGACTATTAAACAAGTTGTGTCCAGAATACTCGGAGGTTAAAACCACACCATTACAACTAGCCAAAACGAATTGCCACCGTTAGGCTTGACCACGATAAGAGCGTCCCACTTGCTCAGCATAACCAAAAATAGATATACAGTGCTTTTACTCGTGAAGAACTGATAATAAAACAAGACCAAAATGGCGTGGGCGCTTTAATACATTCAGTTTCTTGAATACCGTAAAGATCCAACAATAAGTGATAGACATCAGACAAATCTCCCCGTAAGATGCACACTACAGCTGCAGACGTGTACTTGCACATTATAAGATAAAGACAAGGAGTAAAATGACCACCACCACTACGAAAATCGCCAGCACCCACCAACACTGTTGGATAACAGATAGAAACACCATAATCAAAACGAGCCAGGAGATTCTAGCAGAAGTATGAAAGACAATAAATCATCAAACTTCGAGGATACCAACCAAACATTTCAACATATAATTATTAGGTCTGACCGTAATTCAAAACCTATTTGCTCTATCTTATCGCCATTAAGATGGTTGCCTAAGCATTGTCATGGAAATAAGACTCATTTACATTTTTCTTTCAATTTACAATAGCACGCTCGATGTAGTCAAACATAATAAAATTCATTATCATTCTTTACGACATAATATACAAAATGGCTACAGGTCCTGTAAAAATAGATGACTATTTATTTTAGGATTCTATAAAGTACCTTTGTAAGAGTTGTGCTAACGAAATGCCTGATGGGTACCACGATATGGACCATACCTCCTAGAGGGAGGAAGTGAATAGGTCCCTTCTTCTGCCAATGCCTAATTGATACTTGTTCAATTACCAAGTTTGTATTCAATTACCAAATCTTTTAGTTGAATGGTAAAGGCACCCACCAAAATCAAATAATCTACCATAACAAACTGCTTTTGTTACTTATCAAAAAAACAAAAAAAAAAAAAAAAAAAAAACTGCTTTGTAAATGCAATCACACACTCATGATTTCTTTCTCTCAACAGTGATTCTTACCAAACTAGTTCACCACATGAACTAATAACACTCAAATCTTTATGAGTGATAAAGTGAAGTGGTTATGGAATCTCTGCTCCTATGTTTTAGGAACAATCTTTAAATTGACTAGTCTTAAGTTTTGTCTCAAACTCACAAAGCGTGTACGTGTAAAACTCATGAAGTTCTCACACAAGTGTAAAAGACCGTGAACAAGTGATCCACTATCCTCTCACCTACTTTTATTTGTTTTAGAAACCTTAGAAGACTGTAATATAAGTTATAAAAATCTTTTTTCAAGTAAAGAACCAATTTAAAGAACTTTTCAGATGATGAGACCAGCTATTTTTCACAAATCTACTGCCGGCACGCTCTTAAGCAAAGGTGTCTAGAGTCATTCGTCAGTGTGTAACTCACTGGAGTATGCATTGATGCTTAAATTATGCATCAGTGGTAATTCACTATTTTGTATAAGACTTTTCAGAAAATTATCTTGAAGTGTCCTATTTTGATTTAAACACTACTTTATCAATTTATCACATCCTTGATACCCTCCAAATGTAGATCAAAATGATAGCATATCAAGCTATTTTTTCCAATCCAATGTGGAATTTAGCAATTTCAAATATTTATTTAATTTCAAAAAATAATCTTGAAAGTTTATTGTCTTAATCTTGAAAGTCTTCTAAAACATGAAGGGTTCTCTTATATCGATTTTGCTATAGCCATATGTTCTCTTCCCACATGGAATGTTGAGGATTCGAATTCCCCTCGGAACAATTGTGGGTGTGTGTATGGGAGTTAGTCGTTCCTTGTGCGAGTCTCTTACCTATCCAAAAAAGAGAACTAAGAATAGAGAACTTCAACGCTCTAATAGGATTTTCCTCTCTCACAAAGGATCTCCTATTCTGTTTAAGCCATAAGCACCACCAAAAAGGCAAGGATGATGTTGATATATTAAATATAAAAAAGGAATCATTTAGAGTTTTTAGCTTAGACCTCGACTTCAGTCCTAAGCATATGGTAGCAAGTCAAGTTCAACTTTGACATCTTATTTTATATGTTCATGACATATATATGTTTAATATAATTTGTATCAATTATATTCTTAGTAACTAATGAAATAGGTTTTTCTAGGGTTGCAACTTGGGTGGGTTGGGTTGCAGATCAACGCAAGCTCAACTCAAGATAAAACCTTCAAGATATAAAAAAATTAACCATAAGACAAGCCCAAGCTGCTCACCAAAGTTATTTTCAACCCAAACCACACTTACATTTCTAGACTCAATTGATTTGAGTTAGCATGGAGTTGGGTTATTCCTAGGCACAAAAAAATCTTATAGAAACCGAGTTTAAAAATATAAAAATATATATATAATCTAGCTCTCAAGAAATTAATCATTCAAATGATTAATGTACAAAATATCAAGGTTTAAAGATAAAATTTGGAAAAAAAAAAAAATGATTGACCACGACTAAAACAATTTTTAAAAATATAAGGCCCTGCTTGGATTGTAACTCCCGAAATACTTATAAGGCCCTGTGAAATAGGGTTACCCAATTCAGTTTGGGTTTGGATTGCTTGACACTATAACCTAAGCCCAACACGAATTGAGTCTTGGTCAGCTAGGAAGCACGGACACGCCTAAAAGGGCAAAGAATCCGTGTCGGACACCGACGTGCTAAACACGCCCCGACATGTGTCGAACACGCCAAAAAACGTGTTTGGATATTTTATATTTTGTCGAATATCCGGACCCGCTTCCGACACACCATGGATACGTGTTTGATACGCATGTCCAATTCTTTGGGGATTTTAAAGAAAGTTTTAGAAACAAAGTTGAGTTGAAATTAAGAGTTGGATTATTATATATAAATGGTGTTAATGATCCATATTTACCATTTAATGGAGTCAAAGTCCCATAATTTTGAAAAAATGAAGTTGATCAAATAGCTGACCTGAAAATGGAAAAACACTGGGTACCACTTTTTGTGCACGCAGATACCACTTTTGTTTTGGGCATAGAGGTACTACTTTTATGCACATAGGTACCACTTTTTGTGCATGTATGTACAATTTTTTTGTGCAGTACAAAAAGTGGTACCTAATGATAAAAAGTAGTACATGCGTGCACAAAAAATGGTACATTTGCTAAAAGGTACCACTATTAGGCACATATGTACCACTTTTGTTTTGGGCATAGAGGAACCACTTTTATGCGCATAGGTACCACTTATTGTGCACGCATGTACCATTTTTTTGTGTAGCAAAAAAAAATGGTACCTAATGACAAAAAGTGGTACCTGCGTGCACAAAAAAATGGTACATATGTGTCTAAAAGTGGTCCTTTTGGCAAATGAATAGTGTTTTTCCATATCCACGTCGGCATTTTGGTCAACTTCATTTTTTCGAAACTATTAGACTTCGATTCCATCAAATGGTAAATATGGATCATTAACACCATTTATATGTAATAATCCTTTGTTTAATTACATAATTACTTAAAAACTTCTTGTTTCATAAAATAATTTTATATCCAAACAATTAGATATTTATTCTTATATTTTAGTTCAAAGGTTCGAACTCTTGCACGACTATATTTGACACTCTTGTTGTCCCACCAACCAAGCTTCGCTACTGGTGAATGGTCTCTCTCTCCTTTTTCTCCTCTTTTCTCTCTTATTCTTCGTCCTCCTCTTTTCTTTCTTCTTGTTCTTCATAAACTCTAAATACTTCTCTTTTTCCTTTCATAATAAATTTCCTTTTGTCTCTTTTTCCTTTTTCTTCTATTCCCCATTAATTTTGTTCTCTTCTATGGATTCTTACCTTTATTTTTAACTAGGGCCTAATTCTTTTCCTAAGAAAACCCTAATCCTCTTTCTTTTCTTTTCTTTTCTTTTTTTTTTTTTTTTTTTTTTCATTATGGGATTGTAAAAAATAATATTACCCTTAATTTCTTAAAGTACAACATCATATATATAGAAAAAATATTTCTTATTTGTCATGTCCTCAACGTATCCATATACTAAATTTTTAGAATTTGCCGTGTCACCGTATCCGTGTCGTATCTGTGTCCCATATCTGCTTCCGTGCTTCTTAACTGATCAAGATTTCCTAGCACAAGCCTAACCTCAATTGCAAAAAATGGTTGCTCAATTCTGTGAAAATTCGGTTTGGGTTTAGGTTCTCTCAACCAAGTTGCACCCTAGTTTTTTCTTGGATTGATGAATTTGAAGCAATAGATTTAGATTTAATCCTTTACTGCTTATAAAGAGTTGCTAGTTTGAAATTAGGCTTCACAAAGAGGCATTGACAAAATTTTGGACCTTTGTAAATGTGAATTCGAAATAACTTGTGTAACATGAACACTCTAATTTTCCTTGCATACTCGTATCAACATAAGACGACATGGATGTAGGTATGGGTAATGGGATATGTGTCCAGCACACGTACCCAATCGGAGACCTAGATCCTATTGTGATGAATAATAATAGCATCATAAATTACTCTTTTACGTAACATATTCTGTCTTTAGATGTACAAGATACACCCACTTGCTTGAACCCAAGTTTTGGATGCATTTCCAGCGGTCTCTCTATATCCTAAGATTCTGGATTCAGGGAGGTCCAACGCTCTGACACATACCCAAACTCGATACATTATCCATTTCATTATGAAAAATAAATTCACACAGACAACCTACATATCTTTTGCCATTGTAATCTTTCTAAACGAACTATTATATCTCTTCCACCTCTCTTATTATCAATTTGGATAAAATTGAGGATCATCACCGGTTATAATATTAAATGCTTAAACAATATACGTTTCTTTGAAAATTGCAGGATCAACTTTCATAAATAAAACTATATGTTATGACAAATGCAATGAACCCAAGTTTAACTAAGAATCACGACAGAAAAGTAAACACGCCACACAAAGAACACAAAGATTTATATGTGGTTCGGCAACAGCCTACGTTCACGGTTGGGAACCGGCGAAAGTTTTTACTATGTATAATCGGAGATTACAAGTTTTCAGCCCCCCACTCTGTTTCTGTATGAATTTCAAAGTCTCTTTCATCTCCCACTCCAAACCGTAGCCACCCTTATATATTGGGTTACAAGAGACTAATTAGGGTCCATGACTCATGAGCAAAAAACGGGTCAAAAATTTTCCACACAAAGCTCATCCAACTGGTCGTCGGGTCATAAGCGGGTCGCAACACAACCCAACAACAATTTTGGGCCACAATATGACAAATCTCCACCTTGGCTCGAGTTACGCCAAGCTCCACAATCTCTAGTTACTCCTTTCGCTGCCTCCACAAGCCCCTAAGGGCCTTAGCAACAAGTACCAATCAAGTCCAGACAATGTCTGAACTTGAGTGTAGGAATGACCTTAGTCATCATATCTGCCAAATTCTCTGCTATCCCAATCTTTCTTCCTTACTGCAATAGCACCTTGTGTAACCACATCTTTGATGAAGTGAAACTCGACATTGATGTGCTTGGTCCTCTTATGGAACATCTGATTTTTAATCAAATGTATGGCACTCTGGCTGTCGCAAAACACAGTCAAATCATCCTGCTGCAAGCCCAAATCACCAACTAAGCCTCTCAACCATATAGCTTCCTTCACTGCCTCTGTAGCTGCTATGTACTCAGCCTCAGTAGTAAACAATGCAACTACGGGCTGCAAAGTCGCCTTCTAACTGACCACACTCCCACAAAGAGTGAAGACATACCCTGTCAAGGACCTCCTCCTATCAAGATCTCTAGCATAATCCGAATCAACATATCCAGCAACACTCCCACACGTGTCATTGCCTCTATCATAGACTAACCCAACATCTGCAATGCCTCGTAAGTATCGTAATATCCACTTCACAGCCTGCCAATGGACATTCCCAGGTCTATCCATGTATCTGCTCACTAAACTAATTACATGTGAAATTTCTGGCCTAGTGCACACCATAGCATACATAAGGCTACCAACTGCACTAGCATAAGGAACACGAGACATGTACTCCACCTCCTCCTCGGTCTGTGGTGACAATCGTGCTGAAAGTCTAAAGTGGGCAGCCAATAGAGTATTCACAGGTTTTGATGCCTGCATACCGAAGCGTTCTAGCACCTTCTCAATGTATTTCTTCTGTGACATATAAAATCTGCCCGCTCCTCTGTCCCTATGAATTTCCATTCCCAATATCCTCTTTACAACACCAATATCCTTCATCTCAAATTCACCACTAAGCTGAGCCTTCAACATGTTGATTTCAGACATGTTCTTTGAAGCTATCAACATGTCATCAACATACAGCAACAAGTACAAATACGAACCATCTGAGAGCTTTTTGTGATATACACAATTGACAAACTTACTCCTACGGTAGCCATTCCCAACCATAAAGGTGTCAAACCGCTTGTACCACTGTCTAGGAAACTACTTCAGCCCATATTAGGACTTCTTCAGTAGGCAAACATGATCTTCCTTTCCCAGAATCTCAAACCGCTCAAGCTGATGCATATAAATCTGCTCTTCCAACTCACCATGCAAGAAAGCAGTCTTGACATCAAGCTATAAGTCATACAGAGCAACCATAGCAAGTAACAGCTGGATTGAGCTATGTTTCACCACAGGAGAAAACACTTCATTGGAGTCCACCCCTTCCCTCTGTGTATAGCCCTTTGCCACCAAGCGTGCCTTGTACCTCACATCTTCCACCCCTGGATTTCCTTCCTTCTTTTTGAAGACCCATTTACAGCCCACAATCTTTTGCCCTTAGACTTCTTAACTAGCTCCCAAGTTTAGTTCTTATGAAGAGACTCAATCTCCTCACTCATGGCAACAGACCACTCTGCTGACTCTCCACCTGTGATGGCCTCATGATAAGAACACGGCTCATCAACATCCTCTGCCACACTAAGTACATAAGCAACCGAATCAGTATGTGAAAACCCATATTTCTCACATGGCTTAATATCCCTCCTAGGCCTGTCTCTAGCTACACTATATTACTGTAACTGTGCATCTCCCTCAACTCGAAACTGCACCTGCTTGTGAATCGACCGAAAAGGACTATCCTCTTAACTGAACCTCTACATGTTCCACCTACTCACTAACACCCTGAGCTTTCCCTGAATCAACTACCTCCTTTTGCGCATGAAAAGTCACATCCCTACTAACAAGTATCTTCTTTCTCGAAGCCTCTGGGCACCATAATCTATATCCCTTGACCCCAGGCTGATAACCAAGAAACATGTATTTCTTAGCCCTCGGTTCAAGCTTCCCCTCATTCACATGAGCATACGCTGGACACCCAAATATTCTCAGATTACTGTAACTAGCAAAAGAACCAGACCATACCTCCTCTATAGTCGATGGAGACCGGTTCACTAAGTAACTAGTTGTAGAAACAGCTTCAGCCCAAAACGGTTTGTCTAACTCTTCATTGGACAACATACACCGTGCCCTCTCCAATAACGTTCTGTTCATCCGTTCTGTAACTCCATTCTGCTGCGGAGTCTTCCTCACTGTGTGATGTGTCGCAATCCCGTGAGTCTTACAGAACTCATTAAATTCTCCATCACAAAATTCCAAGCCATTGTCTGTCCTCAAGCGCTCGACCTGTTTTCCTGTCTGCTTCTCAATCAAGGTCTTCCACTGCTTGAATGTAACAAAAGCCTCATTCTTGTGCTTAAGAATATAAACCCAAACTTTTCGAGAAAATTCATCAATCAGCGTCATCATATATCTACCACCACTATGTGAAGTAACCTGAGAGGGACCCAAAGATCAAAATGAATATAATCCACTGTACCCTTGGTCCTGTGAATTCCTGTACTGAACTTCACTCTGCACTGCTTCCTGAAGACGTAATGCTCACAGAAATCCAGCTTCCCAGTTTTCTGACTACCAAGCAAACCCTGCTTACTCAGAACATCCATCCCCCTCTCACTCATATGCCCAAGCCGCATATGCCACAATCTGGTAGTATCTGAACCCGTGATTGTGCTACCCTGCAGAGCATATAAAGCATGCTTCTTCAGTCCCTTCATCACCACAAGAGCACCCTTGGAAACCCGAATGACTTCACCTTCAGCCTTATAAGTGCACCCGATGGAATCCAGCGTACCCAGGGAAATCAAATTCGTTCTTAGTTCTTGTACATGCCTGACATCAGTCAACGTCCTCACTATGCCGTCATACATCTTGATTCGAATTGTACTGATGCCTACAACCTTGGACGCCGCATCATTCCCCATCAGAACTTCCCCTCCATCAATAGATCGATAAGAGGTAAACCAATCCCTGTTTGGACAAGCATGAAACGAGCAACCCGAATCAACAATCCGCCCGTCGTAAGAGCTGCCGACTGAAATTGTGAGACTATTACCACCATCTGAATCATTACCCTCTACAACAACCACACTTTCAACTTTAGAGGATTTTACCTTTCCCTTCTTATGCTCTGGACAATCCTTTTTGAAGTGTCCTTCCTTGTGACGGATGAAACATCTCAACACCTTCGTTTTGTTCTTAGACTTAGAACCTATGTTACCCGGACTCGAGTACGGGTGTCGGACACGGGTACGTGTCTAGAGGTCGGATCTATCTATGTATCAAATTATAGGACACGGGGACACGAAATAAAAGTGTCCAAAACTCGGACACGGGTACTTGGACACTTTATATATGTTGTAAAGGAGAGAGTACTCTTGTATAGATTTCTCTAGACTAGTCTAGTAGTGTAGAGTTTGGAGTGTTCTAGAACCTCATTCTAGAATACTCCTGATCGTTAGATTGTTGACACCTGTAAATATCCAGACCATTCATTGTAAGGCCCTTGGCCTATATAAGGAGGTGGGAGTTCATTTGCTCCTCACCAAGCTACCAAGTTGTAATTAAGTTCGCTAGAGCAATACAAGCTACATTCTCTCAAACTCTCTCTTGCTCACTTGTGCCTGGGTGTTCTCTTCCTACACACACACTAGTAAGCAAAGCACTTGTCTAGCCTTAGTTACTACTAAGCTAGCACACTCGGGTAGGCTAACTTAGCCCGTGAACTCGGGTAAGCTGACTTAGCACTTCAAGGGTGCTTGAACGCGCCTAACGCTGCACGTGAACTTGGAAAAGGCCAAGTCCATGACGTCTAAGGATGGCCACTTAGCGAAAATAATCCTAAAGACTTGGCATAGATGGGACAACATTGGATAATTAATTGCCTCTTCAGAGTAAAATCAGCATGTAGCTCACGCTTTAGGGCAGATACATTTATTACGACCTCCAAGATTCATATTTTCCCCTAAATAAGAGACAATTAAGCTACGTAATGGAACAATATGTTGTATCTTGAGAGACAATTTGCCTGATCGTGAAGGAATCCAAACTGATACAGAGTTATTTCATAATAAAACTTAAAAAACTATTAGACTATAAAGACAGTTTTACTCACCCACGAGGATTTAGAATTCACACTTTTGGAAGCCTTTGATAATTGTACTCTAGCTTGGGTTGTCATAGCAGAGGAAGCCTCAACGTTTGATTGAATGTCGTCTGTTACAATTTACAATAAAACAAATAACCAGATGGATAGAGTAAAAGCAAAATCACTCCATAATTGGCAATATAATTAAGCTGTACAAGGAAAAGAGCCCTAGGGGTATATGACGTCTTACCAATAACAACACCTTGCTCGTGAACTAGAACAGCAAGGTCCTTAAATATTTCATTTGCTTCGCCAATTTGATCTTGTATGTCTCTAATACCCTGTTCCCTTTCCTCAATTATGGCTTCATTGAATGCAATTTCATTTCCCAGCAGTAATACCTCCTGCCTGCATATTCAAAGAAAATCATTGTAAACCGTGGTTCTTTTGAAGCGCTCTCTCTCTCTCTCTCTCTCTTCCTTTACAAAAATTTAACATTAATTTTGTTGGCCCTTTGCCTTGCTGCCAACATATAGCACTTGGAGGAGCCAGGAAGGAATTAGGCACTTCCTAGGTTGGCCCTTTGCCTTGCTGCCATCATATAGCACTTGGAGGAGCCAGGAAGGAATTAGGCACTTCCTAGGTCTCCCACGTAAATAATGACAATGAAGTAAAGTGATGTCTGAAGTACTTATCAGATCCATCAGGATCAGGAGAAAATAAGATAGAAATCCAGCCTTAAGAAACTAGTATACCATTTTCAGATAACATGCAGAGATGCTTAGCTGATAGACAAAAACATAAAACATGGAAGAAAGATGGACATGAATAGACTTACATTAGCTTTAAAGTATCAATAACCATCACAATAACCAGGGTAAAACTATTAGATTCCTCGCTGGGAATATCTCCATTTCTATAACCTTTCAGACAATTATAGAATTGCAGACACGATTAACTTTTTGTCTTCTAGTTTTTTAGTTTTATCAAACACTGAAAGCTCTCAGTTGTCCCTCGAAGGAAAAAATTCACCCAACTGATATGCTTTGATATCAATTGAAAGGAAGACTATGATACATCAGATTACTCTGAATGTCCCAAACTAGACCTTAATTGTTGGTGAGGGTTCCTTGCTTCTCTTTAGCTGACATGTCCAATTTTTTTAATCCCTGTCAACAATTTTACACTACTTAAATCATATAGGGCAAAACAATCAATATACAACAATAATTATATAATTATGTAAGTAAAGCATATGCACTGATTTACATGGAAAACCTTGCAAGGGTAAAGACCATGGGATCCTTAACCAGGCCCCATAACTAGGCCCCAATCCAGAATACATACAGATATCTACACAAGGCCCAATCTATTTATTTTAATATTGTAGGCTAACAACCTTATTTTTAAAAATCTAAATCCATCATCATCATCCTTGCCAATATCCCATATGGATGGGGTCGGCCACATGAATTCTTATTTTCCATTCTTTCATATTTTACACCATGTCTTTCCTTAAAATTAACTTTTTAAAATAACTTATCAAAAAAAAATAATAATAAAATAACTTTTTAAAATAATTTTTAATGACTTCATCCCACATAAGCTTTGGTGGGCCTCTTTGTTGCTTGCCTTCTAGGCAAACAACTTTTCCTCTTTTATCAGGTGTATCATGGGGTCTACGTTGAATATGGCCATACCAAATAAAGTCTACTTTCCCTAATTTTATCATTATAGGCACTATTCCTAATATTCCCCTTGCATGTTCATTATTTATCTCATCACTTCTAGTGACTCCTATCATCCAACCTATCATCCTAATTTCCGCTACATGAATGTGTCGTATTTGTGTCCTTTTCAACGCTCACACTCTGGTCCATACAATATTGCTGGCCTACTAACTGTTCTATAGAAATTTTCTTAATTTATATGGTATTAATTTGTCACAAAGGATACTACTAGCTTGCCTCCATTTTGTCCACCCCGCTCCAATCTTACTTACTACATCACCATCTACCTCTCCATCTTTTTTGTAATATTGATCCTACGTAACGAAAGTAATTTTTTAGAGTAACTCTTTGGTCTTGAATTGTAATATTTATAATGGCATCATTTTCTACTTTATAAAATTTACATTCCATATATTCCGTTTTAGTTTTAGTAATTTTTAGGCCTTTTGTTTCTAGGGCCTTTCTCCATGTTTCTAATTTTGTTGATAAGGCTTCCTTAGAAGTATCTATTAATACTAGGTCATCTGCAGATAACATACACCGTGGGATGTTTCGCTCCCCTTTGAGCGCTTTTTTATAAAATTCTTACTTATCAAAAAAAAAAAAAAAACATACACCGTGGGATGTTTTCTTGAATATCTTTTGTTATTTCGTCCAATACTATCGCAAATAGGTGTGGACTCAACACCAATCGTTGGTGTAGGCCCAATTCTACAGGAAAAATTACTAGTTTAGTGTTAACTTTAGTCAATGTCTCAGTCCACATATCCTGAATAAGATTTATAGTTTTAATAGTCTACATATCTTGAATAAGAGTTATAAGTTTTAATAGTTTACATATCCTGAATAAGATATTTTAATAGGTACTTGTTTCCTTAGGTATATGATGCAAATCATTCATGGTACCTTAGTCAAGATTGAGGCGGTCAATGATGCCTTGAAAAGTGTTTAGTCAAAGTCTATTAAATACTAATTATGGTGTGGAAATCTGAATATGTCCTGGGAATAGAAGTTGTTATTAATGCTCTGTGGGTAGTTTAAAAGTCAGTCAAGATAGTCCAAAAGTCAGTCTAGAGAATTGAAGAGTCATTAACAATCTTATTATAAAAAGGATAGACATGTATATTTGTTGTATTCAAGTCTTTATCAATATATTTTGAGTTATTATAAGTTATAAACAATTCTTCAGGTTTTTTCCCAGATTTCCTATAGAAATCTAGGCTCCAACGGTGATTGGAGTATTCCTAGTCTCCCTTACAATTGTAAGACGACTTGTTCATTTCTGTTTGCTTCAAGTGGTATCAGAGTGACTTTCCTTTTTTTGTTTGCTTCAAGTGGTATCAGTTAAACCATCAATGGTGAGCCGTACTAAAGAGTGTGAAGTTTGGTACGCACATGAGGAGTTGAGATACAAGTCTGCCAAGGGTTCAACAGTTTTTGATAATTGCAAAGTTGGAAATTATGTTGATTTTGTAAATGCCACATCAGATTGGGATGAATTTGCTGGATGGGTAGATGAAGAAGGCGAGACTGGAGGAAAACTCAACTTTCTCGTATCAAGAATTTGACAAAAAGGTGGAGGAACATAAAGACGAAATTTCTTTAGAGAATAATGGTGGTGATTTGCATGGGATAGGAGAAATTCAAGTGATGCAATTGAATCGAATAGCGCAACAACTGAAAATCAATCAGCCTGCAATGAAGCTGAGATTCAAGAGGACAAGAAGGTGGAGGACAAATTTAAGGAAGCAACCATCAACTTGCCTAAAGTTGAAGAAGTTGTCACTGTTCAACCTGCTCTTCTTGGATTTCTCAACAATGTCTCTGCTAAAATCTTGCCTATTGCAAATCCTGGTCAGAGCTATGCCTGAGTCTTGTATTCTTATCATGATTTGCCCAAAACTAGCAAATCTGAATCAGGATTCTGCTATGAAGAGCATTGATTTCCATCAAATGCAACAAACTCTGCTCCCTTCTAGAACGAATATTGGTGATGTCGCATTGTGGGAGGTTGGTGACAAGGAGAAGCTTGCTTCCAGAAATTTCAAGGTCTGTAACCTTCGATTATGTTCAATGACTCTGCAGGAATCTTTGGCTAATGAGTATCCTGCATTAGTGAAGAGAGTAATATGGAGTTCTGATGGTATCCTTTTTGTAGCTTCATACTCCAAGAGCACTGAGCAAATATACTCCTACCATGATGGCGAGGATGTACGGAACCACCTAGAGATTGGTGCCCAGGTTGATGGTGTTAGTGATCTTGCATTCCCTCATCCAAACCAGCAGTTATGCTTCATAACTAATGGAGAGGACAAGACAAGTAAGCTGTGGGATGTTGGTTCTAAGCAGTACACCTTTGAGGGTCATGAGATTCCTTGTTATTCTGTATGCTCACCTTATAAAGAAAACATTCAGTTCATCTTTTCAGCAGCTATTGAGAGTAAAGATAATAAATCTGATCCAGCAAAGTATTCTCAAGTGGGGCAATCTGAAGATAAAAACAGTGAAATTCCTGTGGTACATGGCGCAATAAGCATGACATCAGATTCAAGTTTCTGGAATAACTTGGTAAGAAATGAAGCTACTTAGTTCACGAGGTTGGAAAATCATGAATTCCATATTCATGACTCAATTTGGGATGATTTCTTGTTGCGACATATAACTTGGAGTTGTTCTCATTTGAAAATCAGATTAATTCAGGTTTCGTTTCATGATATGTGTTCAAGCAAGCTTTGGAAATCTTAAATTCCCAAAAAAAAGCTTTGGAAATCTTCTAAATTTAAAGAAGAGCTCGGGAAGTCCATGAAAAGGTGTTCTTTGCTGATGAAAGAGGATTATTGTGTTTTCTTCAAGCAAGGAAATGAAGAAAGAAAGGATGGAAGGCTGTTAGCCGAGATAGGATAGCCACAATTTATGGAATGACTTACTGTATTAGCAGAGATTTGATTATGCTATAGAATATGCCATAGAATATTCTGTGACTTGATTTAGATTTGATTTAATTTCCTTTCTTGTAATATGAGCATGTGCTCTTTTTATATATAAATACTAGAGCTGTGAATGAGTGATTATCTCATTCAAGCCTTCATACAATTCTATCATTTTTCTTCTTTTTATATTTCTTCTTGATACCAAGAAGAAATATAATATAGAAGAAAGAAAAGAGAAATACGTAAAAGGTTTAAATAAGATGTAAAAACACTCATTCACAACTCTCATATTTTTATATATTAAAAAGAGCACATGTTAATAATACAATAAAGGAAACTAAATAAAATCATTGCATATTCTATGCCTAGACATATGCGCACAAGTTTGTCATCAAGGTTTTTAGCCATAGCAACTCACATACCCCAAGTGCCATAGCCCTACTCTGCCAAAGCACTAGATCAAGAGAAGATCATATTTGGTCAAATTTGCACTCCATTTGTCACAAGCTCTTAGCAGCTTGCAGACATTCTTATAAAGGGCATCAACAAGATTGTGATTGTGTTTAAGGATGCATTGTCCAAGTTGGGTGTTTCAGATATCCACGCACCAACTTAAAGGGGAGTGTTAGCAGATATGATAGCCACGATTTATGGAATGATTTACTGTATTAGCGGAGATTTGATTATGCTACAAAAATATATGCCATAAAATATTTTGTGATTTGATTTAGATTTGATTTAATTTTCT